CGTTCAGTCACATTGTCTTTCGGAGTGCATGTTTATTAAGGCAGAGTCTCGTTAACGAGTACTTACGTGCCGTTCACATTAGATTGAACTTCTGGCCACTGTCATCGAGAATTCATTGCCATCGACCGAGAGGCAAAACTTCGTTTTGGATTACTTAACGTTCCGTCCTTGTATAGGAAATTGACCCTCGATCCGTTCGGTCGATTTCAAGCAGTAGACCAAATGCGAAAATGCCATTTCTTTTTATATACGTTATATTCAACAAATTAAATCTTATATCTTATTGTTGTAAGATAATTTTTTCCTTATTTACTTTCCTTAAAGTTTCATATATTTCTAATAAAAAAAAACCACAATTAACGAGTTAAACTTTGATAATAAAAATCTTAAAATTCAGAAATACAAGAAGCATATTTGTCAATATGTATATTGAACAATAACTTATTCATTTTGTTGTTTAAATCTATATGACATGTTCGATTTAATGACTTCATGTTTTAGTAAAAGGAGATCAGTAACCCGTTGCAAGGACGAGCTGCTCTTCGTAAGACTGCCAAAGAAGAACAATGAGACTGAGAATTGGAACGTCTGGCGAAACAGTTGACTACCGTAAAGTCAACTGGTTGATTAGTACGACCCATGCATCTACGATCGTATTATGAGCGAGTAAACTTTCCTTCTGCAGTTCGCGAAGATTCGTGACTTCTAGCGCGCGCAAATTCTCGATGACCGTTCAACTAATCGTGAGGTCATCGTTCTCATACGAAACAAGAACACATATTGTACGTAATTATATTAAATGCGAATCTTTAAATGTACAGCATCAGCGAAAAGTTTCATCCCCATCTAAGAAACATTTTTTTTTCTTTTATATATGTATGCAATTATTTTATTTCTAATATATTATATTCGATATATTTGAATTTTTTTTAAATTATAAATGTTAAAGTATTAATAGCAAATAAGTATATTGGTAATATAAGTTACTAATATGTTTACTACACAATTTATAAACATATTATATTTATGTAATAAGTATATATTTGTTTATTAATTATATATACAATAATATTTATTAAATCTGTATCTTTGTAAAAACTTGTTATGCTCTTTGGAAATTATCTGTACCATAGGAAAAATGATTTTTACACAATGATTTAAATAAAATGAACTTTAGACGAATTAAATTAGCTCTATTATAAGTATTATGTAATATGGATATATTTGTTGCACACACATTTATATTACACTATTAATTATTCTTTCCGTCAGAGCTACTTTCCATATCTAGTTTGATAAAAAAAAAAAAGTCAATGTATGAATTAAAATTGTAGAAAAAGTTTATTCGAATGCGTTTGCATATAATATTGTAAAGATGCGATATGTACATCATAACATTAAATCCTTATCGATGATTATTAATTACGCTGAAATTATCTATTGCAGTCATATATATATACATACTATACGAATAATCGTATCTTATATTTTTAATATTCATTTTATATACTTTATATTTATATACTTTTCATATATATTTATATACTTTTAATATTATTTTTAATCTCTTCATTTTATTTCATATGTCGTCATCATTTGTTTAAGATTTTGATTATTAATTTTTCGGTCTTATAATTCCATATAATCCTTAGCAAAAGTAGAAAAAAACAATCTGTTATATATATACATATATAATTTATATTCTCACGAAATTCCTGTATGACTAAGAAATTCGGCCTATTAAAATTTTTATTTCGCACTTAAGATAAACATATCTAAAAGACGAAGGGGATTTTTCTTTTAAATAAAAATATAAGTTTTATTAAATATACATGATAAAAAAGTTGGAGAATAAATATAAAAGGTAATCTTATAAATTAAACAAGAGAGAGAGAGAGAGAGAGAGAGAAAATGGAAAGAAATTTGGGAAAATAATCTTCGAACATGATGCTGCAGGTTTTTTTTTGACAAAATATCTACTGATTAGAAAAATTAGGACCTGTATATCTACCCTATATTTATCTTAAGAACAAGTTATCGCAAGTACAAGAATTTGTATTTATATAATGATATATCCTGCGTGTGAATTGAAAATAAACTTTTTGGATAGAGGAAAATAAATAGAAATGTGGGATAGCATCACAGATCGATGAATTGAAAAAAAAAAAACAAACGATCTTCGTTTCGAATTAGTGTTTGAGAAGAATCATGTATAAATCAAAAGTGAATCGTGTCTTGCCGATTCGGAAGCGATCGCTATCGAATGATTTATTGCCAATTTATTGTTGCAACACCTTGTAAATGGTGTCAGTAAAGAACAGGGATGAATGAATTTTAATGCCGTAGTTTTATCGTCAATCAATGGAATTACATGGAGATGAAAAATGTCAATTATATTTCGAAACATTGTTTTCGATTGTAATAAACAATACAACTTTAATATATTCACACACACACACAAGCATTGATTATTTTTAATAATTTATTATTTTAATTATTATTGATTATTAGTATATATGTTGATTATTGGTTAATAAGTATTTATAATTATAGATTATTATTAAATCTTTCTTTAACTTGATATATTTATATTAAGCAATCTAAAATGAAGATAATTAAGATATTATTCGAAAGTGTTTATGTCCTTAAATACGTGCTCGTTAATGTCGGTGAGATTAACAAAAAGTAACGCAACTCTTCGTTTGATTTGAAATGCGCATTTATATTCTTCAATTAACATATAAAGGTGCGGATGTGTAAACAAAGATATGCGTGTATACATAAATAAATATATATATTAATATGTATATATATACGTACACATATATAGACACAGAGACAGACATGTATCTCCATCAAAGTGGCAGTTCGCTTGTAATCGGGTGCTGCACTCTGATTAATGACTCGTTAAAATGAAGCCGTATATTGTAGATAAATTGACAAATGCGCGAAGCACATGCGAGGGGCAATAGTTCTTGGTCAAACATGCCAGACAAACAAGTACTCGTACATCCCATGTATGTAACGGGTGACATGATACAAAAGTAATACCTCGTTGATCTAGGTGCAATCATTATTTTAACGAACTGTATGCAGTCTATATCCGTAATGTATTTTCCATCTTCTACTCGTTACATATCACAGATTACAATTAATACCAATACTTTGTCTATAGATTTTCCAATTGCATTCACATTCCTTCTATTATCATTATTATATGAAATTGATTAAATATATTATACAAAAATTCGAATAAAAAGTTGTATAAAATTATTCAAGATTACTCGATAAGGTAATTATACTTACCTTCGGACTCGTCAAACTGGTCATTACATTTGCCAATCGTACAAGCAAATAAATCGATAAATTATTGCTTTTAAAGTTCTGTCTTTTAATCTAATACCAAATTTGTTATAATTACAAAGTTTACCAATATGTTTACGTAATTTTTAAATAAGCAATTTTTTAAATTACGTAAATTATATTTTTGACATATCCGCTTCGTGTAAGTTCATTATTACATATGTGTCACATATATATATGTCACATAATATATCAATAAAAGTACAATTTTTCAATTTGAGTTCATAGGTGATTTATAGTCGCTGTAATATATTAGTAGGATTAAAAAAAAAATTTTTTTATTAAAAATCAGATTGAGAATTCGAAAAGAGTTTGGTAGAAACTTCTTTCGATCGTCGTCATTAAAAAATTAAGAAATTGAGAAGTAAATATAATTCTGACTGCAACTGATTTGACTTATTCGTGGGTCAAATTCTATCGGCTTCGATAACGAATCATCGGTTCTTTTGACTCTGAATATGAGGCCAATGAAAATTTAATTTTCATTATTTTTTTTATGTTCTTTATTCTAACAAAGGTTTTAAGATTAAGAGACCCGTGAACGTCAACAAATTGTCTGTAGAAAATTCAATTCATCTATAATAATATTATTCTAACCATTGCGAAAAATATTTGTCTTTTTCACCTTTGTACTGAAATCTCTCTCTCTCTCTCTCTCTCTCTCTCTCTTTTTTACACACAAAAAAACGATCGTTAAACAATCGAGGTCGTTTCTTGTCCTCCGATAGTTTATCACATTGAACTTCACAAAATGAAACGTTTCCATTCCATCGATTTTGATTTCGTTCCTCGAATTTACACAAAGGAGAAAGCGATTTCGTCTGAAAAATAAGAATACCAAAAATAGCAGCAATAAAGCAATGAAAATGCAATTGAAATTAAATTCGTATTACGTCTCGATTCAAATTATTCGTAAACTTACCATTTTCATTTGAAAATTGACGCAAAACGTAAACGTGAATGAAGATAGACAAAATGAATGACACTTTTTGTTTTTTTTTTCTCGAAAAACCATTTATTTTATCGAATAAATATTTTGCTATCTATGCTTTCTACCTAAGAAGTACACATTATACATATAATTATGCATTTTTTTTGTCTTTGTCGTTCTCATTCGGATATTGAAGGGTACACAATTCCATTATTTTTGATAATAGGTACACTGACAAACAAACGAAGAGCGAAAATGAGACAAAGATAAAAGGAAAAACAAAAAAAAGCAAAGAACAAAGAGGGGAAGACCTTAATACTAAACGATAGTGAGGAAAAGGAAATAGCTTTGATAAGAAACAGTATCGAAATATTAGGTGTACACACAAATGAATAATCCAAATATTTTTTTTTTTTTTTGGTTTTTTTTCTTAGCAAAACTTCAGGTTTATTTTTAAAATCAAGTAAAGCAAGTTTTTCATTCAAGGTATTCGCTGTCGCCTTTCTACATAATTTTAAAATTATCTTTGCCATCTTTGAAGCAGGTAATAAATTTCGTCTCGGAGAAATGCGATATCTTTCGGTATGATGAAATCAAGCCATTTTTGAATCTTGTCTGTAGATTAAAAGTGCATATCGGATAAAATGTGTTGAATCGATTGGAACAAGTAGTAATCCAAGGAAAAAAAAAAAAAAGCTGGTGAATATTTTGTATGCTCCATGATATACCAGTTAAGATTTATTATATCTTTTGTGGCAAGAACAGACAGTGTGTGACCTGATTTTATTATGCAATAATTTTACATGACGCTTTTCATTGCTAGTATATAAACATTTTTATCTCAAGTCTTGACGCCAATTAATAATTGACATTAATCCACATTCGATTTTAACAATTCTTACTAAATAAACATTTTGATATTCCCCACCAATTGTACAGCAGAATTTTTATTTCTAAAACGATTAGACTTTGCCCGAGAATTTACCAAAAATTTTCATAGTTTCGTATTATCATTCGATATCCATTTTTATTTGCTCGTTTCTCATACAAGAAAAACTTTTATAAAAAATATATTTTTTTAGTAAATTTCATTTTGTAAAAAAAAATGTTTATGTCGTTTTATTAAGTAGAAAAAGACACATGATGTAAAATGTGTGCATTGTATCAGTCGCCATGTTCTACTCTACTTAATTCAATATTATTTAAGATTATATTCAGTTGTTTTAAACCAATTATCATTTGCAAGAACAATATGTCAATAAAATGTAATCGCAAAAGAACGAGAAAATCAATTAACCTAAACATAAATTTTGTAGTTTCCATAGGATCACTAAAGTTATGCAACGATGGGCACAGTTATTACATGGTGTGCTGTTGACTTTAGAGAGATAGTAAAACATGTGAGAAATGTTGGTTATGTGTAAGAAGGGGTTGTTTGTAGAAAAGTGACTTGAAACCGTAAAAAGGAAAATAATAAAGACAATATTAATTTGTTGTAATTACTGATAAAAAATATGGATTATTCATATTTGTACATCTAATATATTTTTATACACTTTTATCGCATAATTCGTTGTAAATTTTGAGGCGGTGCACATGTTAATTACCTATTCTATTATACAAAAAGTTCACTACGGTGCACATAACTTGGAAAATTCGAAGCTGTAGAGAGTGAAAAAATATGAACAAGGAGATAGAAAGATAGGAAGAGAATGGGATAGAGAAAAAGGGTAAAAGAATGGTAGAATGAAATTCATGTGTATCAAAAATTTTTAACGATTATTACGTTAAATCGTATTCGCGAATTATGATGAAAATGGCGCAGGAAGGAAGCCTTCGATATTGTACGGTACAGTTTAATAAAAGAGACAAATGCCTGGGTCAGTTACACTTTTTATCTACAACTTACCCTATTAGATATTCACGTTAAAAAAGAGACGGAGTTTCGTTAATTAATTCGCTCCTCTACGAATTCCTCGATTTTAATCGAGAAATTTGATAAATGGTAATGCCACACTTGCTTGGATTACTTTATGTACACATTCACGGTTCATACGCATTATCTCACAATCATTCGTACTATTGATTTAAAAATAGAATAAAAAAGAAAAAAAGGAAAGAAAAGGAAAACAAATACGAACGGACAGGAGAAAGATTAAAAAAAAGATGAAGAAAATTGGAGAAAGAAAAAGAGAATGTTTAAAAATAATCAAAGAGTTATTTCACTGTACACCGAGATCTTTTCTGGTCAGTACGTCCTCATCAATCAACAATAACCATTATCATAAATGTAAAATGAACGATCTCATGATTTTTGTTACAGTAGCGAACACTATAGTATTGCTAATTGCTAACAGTACAATTGACAAGATAGAGAAAAAGAGAGAGAGAGAAATTGTAATAATTGAAAAACAAAAAGGACGGGATCTATATGTTCGAAGTTCATCGTTAACATGTCTCTTAGACCGAAACGAAGGAAAGAAGAAGTTAAACTAAAAATAATAGAAGGAGTATATAGGGTATACGTGACGGGGAAGAAACCAAAACGCTTTATAAAGAGTCGTTCTCCTGTATTAGGAGAAAACGCATTAACGCCTTAAAAATAATACCGTGACTCTAGGAACTATTCGCCTTGCCGTGAATCACCATCGAAATGCCCGCTCGAACTTTTCTCTTTTTCCGACATCTTTTATTACTATTATCAAGCATTTATATCCTTTTTCTCGTGTTTTTTTTTTCCCCATTCCTCTCTCTCTTGGTCGCCATTTTATTCGCATAAACGTTCAAGCACGCGGCACCTAACAATTCCGAACAAGGCACTTTCAGTCTATCAGATGAACGATTTTTTTTATTATTATTATTTTTTTCTGTGTTTGTTTATTTTTGTTTTTTTTTTTATTTTTTTCTTTTCTCGAGGATTCACCAACGACGCATGTCTCTTTGTCCTTTTCGCTATTCCAAAATGGAAGTAATGGGACTATGAACATCCGCATCGTTCAACGACCATGCCTGGTAACCGCGAGAAAACGATCTGATATTCGTTGTCAAAATACAGCATCGTGATCTCCGAAAGTTTCCTCGGAGCACAACATGGTCCCGTGTTATTTGGTGGTTCCGCCAAGCTAACTATATGAGTGTTCGGATAGGCTGGAAGAAATGCCATTGGACAATCACCCGAACAATAATTCGCGTCGTATCTGAAACAGGGAATATAAAACATAGTTGTTTTAATATCAATCATCGTATATTACTTTTGTTATCATTATTTCCATCAAGGAATAATTGTACAAATATTCAATCAATTTGACGATGTTTACTTGTGAAATCCGCACGCGAAAGTTTCTATAAAAATAAATTTCAAAAGACTCACTTTTTAGGCGCGATTATCCAATCCCAGCCAAATTTCTCGAAATCCACGGTTAGCTTGTACCGACAGCACCTCGTTTCTTGGCTTGCCTCGTCGCAATTAAGACCGACGTTTCTTTTAATCCTACCACCTCTTCTCGTGTCCAATTCTTGTGTCTGCACTTCGAGATAGGGGGCAAATTCAGCACCAGGATTCGTCTCGACGAGTCTCGAATTCCTACGATGATTCCCACCAGGACCCGAGATTTTTAATGCGACACCAAAGTTATCTCTAGGATGCTTGAACCATTCAGCCACCATTCTTCTTAATTCAATTGTCACCCAAGCACCTCTGCGACCAATCGGTCGAGAATGTTTCGTTGTTAACGATGGTCCCAATAATGGGCCACCTGATTCTGTACCACCACGAAGAATCCTTTGAAGTGTGATTGTCATAGGACATTCGTGATGCGTTTCTATATTATCCTGTTTAACCGAGTCGCTCGGTTCGTCACTATCTTGATTGGTACCCCAAACCCAAAGAGATAATTCTGCTCTCGTCACTCGATGTTGAACCACCTTATCGGAGAACTTGAAGTATAACACGTCTAGACCTTTCGAATGCCTTAGCCTTTGATCTGTCAACAAAACATCAACATTCCTTTGTTATCTAGTTAAAGATATTCTACAGATTATTATGAGATAGGTACTTAGATGTGTTCTTTATATATTATGTAATTATACCAAATATTTAAAATCATTCGTTAGTAAACAAGTCGAGATACTACATAACTTTGATGTAACTGTTAAATTGACTTGAAATAATCACTGGTATATACAGGGTGTCTCAGCTAAATGGAATCATTCAAATATTTCCTTTATTTACAATTGTATAAAGAAACTTCTAAGGAAAAAGTTGCACTACTGCAACTTTTGGTTCGAAAGGACTTTTCCTCAAAGTCATTTTCTTATGAAATTTCTATGCTATTGATTTTTTTTTGCGATATTCTTTTAGAGCATAGAAACAATATAATTAATGACTCGATTGACAATATCATTCCGATCATTTAATTTCGAGATATTTACATTTAAATATAATTAAAACACATTAGATCATACACTTGTATTCAAATGTAAACGCTACTGTCTTTAAGAAACTTCAACTAATTAAATAGACTACAGGTGTTTAAAATGTTAATCGTTTGCTTCAATTACAGTCAGTGAACTAATTCATTATGCACATTTTCTATTTCCTGTGATATCATCGATTAACATGTAGTTAGAATTTTTCTTTTCATATTTTCAGGTATAATTGAATTGTCCTGATAAACTACAGTTTTTAATTCATCGCATAAATAAAAATATTAATAAGGTAAGGTTAGGAAAACGAGATGTCTATTCCACAGTTCTTCGTCGTCTGATCGAACAGTTTTTAAAACCTTCTATCTAATATTATTACTCTTGCATATTTCGAATAATGTGTGAAGCAACCATCATGTTGGTATCACGTAGATTATGTAATATTTAACGAAGTATCTGATAAAAGTTCCGGGATAATATCGTTGAGAAATACTGAGTATTTATTTTTGTCCCGTAAGTGTGCCTTTAATGAAGTAAAAACCTATGATTTTATATAAATAATAGAATCTCGCACCACACATTCAAAATCTTTGGTGTCAGTTTATTAACTTCTCTGATCTATCGTGGATTTTCTACAAACCAATAATGCATGTGTATATTATTGGTTATACAAACATAATATAGTGCATATCTTTCGGAAATTTTTATTATCTTTAAATGTAAATATATCTCGAAAATAAATGACGGGAATAATAAGGTCATTTAGATTCTTTTTATTCGTTTTTTTTTTCCTACTCTACAAGAATATCGCAGAAAATTATATATAGGGTTTTGTAAGATCTAAAAAATTAGTCACAGTTATTCTCGTGGGCTTTTTCGAAAATATATAGTTACATAGTTAGTAACGAAAATTAACAAGTTTAACAGTGTTTATCAGATATAAGAATAAAGTATCAATAAACGACTTAACTGTACTTAAACGAGTTTGAATTCGTGCAAACACCTTTCAAAAATATACGTAACAATATGGGATAAGTTGCATATCAAAAAAAAAACGACTGCAGCTTCGGGAAAGATTATAATTAATTCTAGGAAGTTAGATCGGTGATAACCATCTAGATTATTTATGCACGGAATATTACAAGATTATTGTAAGAATAATTTAATAAGGAAGTTAAAACATTAAAACTACACATATACGATTTTTCTTACTCTCATCAATTCTCGTTACGAGTCCATTTAAAACAACATAGATAATCTTGAAATTTCATTAAAAAAATGATCTTAAATAAGATATTCTTTTAACCATATTACATCACCCCTTGCAATAATGCAATTTTTTCCTTTGAATATTTGTTCATAAAATTATAAATAAAAGAGTCTATCTAAATAATACATTTAGCTAAGGACATTTTTGTATACAAATGTATATACATATATATATACATATGACTATTTATTAGATGCAAGAATGATTAAAAGAAAAAAAGTAAAATGAATATATGATTTTAATCGAGACACACCGATCGGAATACAGCCGTTTCGTTGGAAGATTAATGATTTCTACTTACATAGAAAGAATCTACACGAAGATTGTTGCTTGTCGTGAGGTTATCGGAATAGATAACCGAATATCGGAAAAGATTCGTGATAATCGATGATGTATACGCGCACACGCCAACGATTAAAATGCGAGTAGTCTCTTGCTATTATTACGAAAAGACTCTCTTTCGTTATCATACATTATTAATAAGAACAGTGTGTCGTATTAATTAATAGTAAAAAGTCATTTACCGACTTAGAGAAAAATCATATCGTATAATAATACACACGAATAAGAGGAAAACATTATTTAAATGATATAAAGCGCGTTGTCTCTTCTCGTTTGTTCTTCGTTTTCGCTAACATACAAACAAAAAATTAAATGTCTAGACTATATATTAGTAATTAATTCTAATCGTAACATATTAAGCTATTGCGAAAGTATTTATCACGATAAAACGCATTAGAAACAAAGTTGTTTCTAATTGCGATTGTAAATAATAACTTCAAGTGATTAACGTATCTATAGCGTGTGTGTTTATCGTTATATCACGACGCATTCAAGTTTTTCTTAAATCAACAAAAAAAAAAAGAAGAAAAAAGTAACTAGAGTGAATTAGATAAATCTGCAGATTGTTCTAAGGAGTGGAATCGAATGGAATGTTGATCACATTAACTATGTAACTACACTGTTTTTTTTTTTTTCTTATAAACATATATATTTAATAACAAATATTTCAGACATTGCAAAAGAATAAATCTATTAATGTAGTTAAATAAAAAATAAACGCTAATAATGCATACGAAATACTTGAATTTATATCATGATATTCGTATTCCTTCTTTTAAAGGAAATAAGAAAAAAGTCATTCGACAGATCGGTAAGACTAGATGCAACGGAAAAACGTGTACCGATAATTCGAGTCATCCGGTCAAAGGGTTAAACTCTTTGCGTGGCATTCGTTCAATCGTATTACAACTATGCTGGTTCGTCTAGAAAAGAATAAAGAAAAACAAGACAAGGCAAGGCAAACTGTCGAGAAGAGACCTCGAGAAAAGTTTCCTGATTGATCGTCGTAAGAAAAACGATGCCCCGTGTAACGGTAAGACTCGCAAGCCAGGTTTTACCCTTCATGGAAGTGGTCTTGGATGGCCCGAATAGAAACCGCTGCTACCATCATTGTACGCAAGGTTTAACGGTCCTAGTAAATTTTCAGTCACCTGACTAAAAAAAGAAAAAAAAAAAAACCATATTTTTCCCTTTAATACGTCGTACTGTACATCAATCCTTCCGTTTCTAACAAATGAAACACGATCCGTGCAATCTTTTGATTAATGGATTCTAGACTAATAATCAATGGACATTTTTTCGATATTTTCTTATAATATGATTCAATTTATTCATTAAACATTAATTTATTATTTTGTTTGTTTTAATAGATACGTTCTAAAAACTTCTTTTCTCCTTTTCAATTTATCTTTCTTTTTCGATTGATTTACCTGAACACGATGATCGCGATCGAAAAAACAACTACAATGATTCTATTATCTCTCTTCATATTATTGTACTAGAAAATTGACACTTAATCGAAGGAAAAATGATTATCTACGGTAAGATTCAATGTTTTATCAAATAATGACAGATTATACGGTGTCTCTTCGTGAGATCATAATTTCGAATAGTTATAGATTCAGTATACACCATGTCATCCTTGACATTTTCTCTCTATAAACTAATTTCTAACGACTAATTGCGTTAATCTTATAGATGGGAAGATCTTCTTACCCCCTTCACCGTCGACGTCTTTCGGAAACTTCATACGATCAGAATGAAGATGGATCAAGTTTTCCCTTCACGACCGGTATAATCGACTTAAGGAAGACAAACCTAATCTCTTTACTGTGACTTCACCTTCGAAGTGCCAAGGATTCGTAGACGTACACCTAGACGTCCTCTCTTCTTCACCCTCCTCCTTCACCATCCACCCACCCACTCATTCTTCTCCCTTTCTTTGACACCCCCTCTTTCTTTTGTTCTTGAGATTACCGAAAAAACGACATTCGTCTTATTTTATCCGTAAAATCGTACATCACGGATATCATTGAATAATTATTATTATTATCATAGTATCTCGTTTTATTTTTTCGTAATTATTCAGTTAATATGACGGTCTTCCTTGATAAACCATAACATTTAGCAGCAAATGTTAACAATTTTTTTTATTTATATCTGCTGTTTGTCAACGAATTAACTACAAATCTATTTCGTAAAAAAAAAAAAACAAAAATTAAATATACGATTGATTGTTGAATGATATATTCCAAAATAAAGATATATATTCGCGCGCGAATGATTTGTAAATTTAATATAAGATTTAAAATGAAACTCTGTCTGGAGGTTGTCTGAAGGTTCTCAGAGTGTCTGATTTTAAACAGGAAAACGTACGTCATAACTGAGGTGAGTCGTGCTTTCATGAGCGAGGAAGAAAAATAAAAAGAAGAAAAAAGAAAAGAAAGTAAAGAAAATGGCGAAATAAGAAGCGAAAAGGAAAGAAAGAGGAACGACAAGAGAGAAAGATGGGTGACTTATTTTGGTCCAGACGAATTACCGACCGTCTGTCTGGCTTCGCAAGTTCGAAAACTAAATTTAAAGTTACGCGAAAAAGGGGAAGAATTGTCTGTCTGGAGAAAAAAGTCAAAGCAAAGCTGAACGCGATTACTGAAAGGGAAACGAGTGATCTTAAAACTTCTAAGGCACCCTTGAAAATCTCCGAAACGCATTCTCGACATTGGTACGTTCTTAACGTTTCAACGATTGAATTTAGAAAAAAAAGCTGAGAAACTTGGAACCGTGACATTTTGTTATATACATATGTGTGTGTTGTGTGTGTGTGTACGTATAAATAAACCATAATTCTTATATCTTATTGTATATTAAAGCAAGAAAATAAAAATACGAATGAAAGAAAAAAAAGAACATAATTCGCGAATAACAATTTTTGTAGTAAATACTTTA